CATAAAGCATAAGGACTTATACCCATTATCTTGTAATAACCTATAATGGAATATAATCTGCAGAAATACTGAGTCATTACGCTGCACATCTGAAACTATCACAAACTACTGTAAGTCAACTACATTACAATTTAAAAAAATTAGCATGACCTGGCATGATGGTATTGCGGGTATTGTTGAGGCAATAATTATATTTTGAATGTTTTAAATGTCCTTTAGTTATACAGGCTTTTTAGATACTAGCAGATGGAAATCTTTTTTTGTTCCTTCGGTCTGGTTTCTCAACAAAGTCCACAAGACAAAGAATTAAATTGAAAAGCCAGTTAAGTTCCATATGGGTCTTAGAACACTAGTGTGTGTGAATGTCTAGACTTTAAATTATTAATATTAGTCTTAGATGAGCTGACTTACTTTGATCCCTGTTAATTTTGTTCTCAGAGAAGAGGTCTTATATTCATGTGACTTGCCCAAAGGCTTCTAGAGTCACTGTCATATGATCTCTAGTAACTTCTGAGAATGATATGTACATGAACTTAATCAAAGCTCTATATATCAAGATTTTATTTGAGTTCAATGAAGATGTCCAGTGGATTTTATTAAGTGCAGAGACAAAGAAAGGTCAAACTTCATTATTATTTAGGGCATAAGTCACTTTCCTAGACTGAGGCAGAAGAAAAACTCAATGGAATCACTACACATCCAAAGCAGAAACTAAAAAGGGTAACAAAAACTAACTTTAGGTACCAGGTATGCTTAGTCTCAAGAATTAAATTTGTTTCTAAAAGATGACTACCTTTCAATCAAAATAACAGTGAAAGAGTTAATAAAAGGAGGTCATGTTAAGATGGAAACAAAGCAGGACTTTCTTAAGAATGAATTCAACCTCAGAAACTAAACTAGTCAGATATGAAAAAAGAAAATGAGAATATACTGATATATACCAGGACTATGCATTCTTAAAGATGGAATTGGGGGGGAAATGTATTTTAGCTGTTACTCATCAGAAAGAAAGAGTGACTGATTCCAAAGGTATCTAACAGAGGCATAAGAGGTAAACTGAAGCATGGAAGTTGCAGTGGATCAGAATGGAAATCCAACTATGGTAAAACAGTATTTTAAAGAAATGTAAAGAAAATACATAATAAGAGTAAGCGTAAAAACCACACACCATGAAGACTGAGACTATTCAGTAACATAAAATCTGTACAGTTGTGGAAAGGTAAAAAAAAAAAAGAAAAACAGAGATTATCATTGAATACCTGAAGCATTTCAGATGCATTTCAAATTACTAGTTACTATAGGAGGCAATATATGATATGGCACAGTGTCACAAAGAAAAATGCCCCAGGAACTCAAAGTTAGGCCTCAGAGAATGGACAGGAATAGCAAAACTGAAGAAAAGCAAAATAAGAGGTTAAACCTTGGTTTGCTGTTGAGCTGGTAAGATTTCCTTAAATCTTGGAGTTAAGAATGGGCAAAATCTGTTTCATGGTGAATGCTTTTCAGTAAATTCCAAATTCCTTGACTTTCATCTCTGATATTACAGGAGATCTTACTGAAGATAAGAGACAACTGAACAATAATAAAACCTAAGCCCAAAAGCAAACAGAAAGGGAAAGGAAGACAGGAGGGACCAACTTAAGAATAGGCTAAAATATAAACAAAAACAGAAACCAACTATGTTTATATGAAATGGCATATCCTATCATTGCTGAAGGACTTTCCTGGTAGCTCAGAAGTAAAGAATCTGCCTGCCAATGCAGGAGACGCCCCTGGATCAGGAATCCTGGAGCAAGAACTGGCAGCCCACTCCAGTATTCCTGCCTGGAGAACCCCATGGACAGAGGAGCCTGGAGGGCTACAGTCCACGGGGTCACAAAAAGTCACACACAACTTAGTGACTAAATATCAACAACCACTGCTGAAAGGAATGTGACAAAAAGGAATGTTTACACTGCCAGTGAGGTAGAACAAATAATGCAAGGTCTAGAACAGTTAAAAGAGATCGAACCAGTCAATCCTAAAGGAAATCAATCTGAATATTCATTGGAAGGACTAATGCTGAAGCTTAAGCTCTGATATTTTGGCCACCTGATGCAAAGAGCTGACTTATTAGAAAAGACCCTGATGGTGGAAAAGACTAAAGGCAGGAGGAGAAGGAGACGAGAGAGAACAAGATGATTGGATGGCATCACTGATTCAAAGGACATGAGTTTGAGCAAGCTCTAGGAGATGGTGAAAGACAGGGAAGCCTGACGTGCTGCAGTCCACGGGGTCGGAAAGAGTTAGACATGACTGAGAGACTGAACGACAAAAGAACAGTTAAAAGCAGAATAAAGAAAGGATTTAGAGGGGCAAGTGGCAGAAGACAGTATCTTCACTGAGTACAGACATCAGAAATATTAAAAGTAGCTTTATTTCATTATGGCTATTGTCCAAATAATACAAATGTGCAGCACAAGAGGAGTGCTTTTATGATTTTAGCTCAACAGGCCTAAGAATTTCAGGGGAAGTGGCAAAAGTCATGGTAACACAAAGCTAAAAATGTCTTGGCACAGGCTGGGGACAGAGAAATCCAGAGACGAGGGCAGAACATCAGAGCTATGGTAATTGCAAGGCTCGAGTCTTGTGGAGCCTTGCATAGATTGTACTTTGAGCTTTACACACTACAAGTAAGTTATATACTCTTTACAAAAGGCAGTAAAGAAGCTATACCACTAAACAGAATCTATACTAACTGGAGCACAGGAGTTCCAGGACAATACAGAAAAAAATAGAAATTAAAAGTTTTTAATATGAAGGAAGCCTTAAGGAAGAGTTATCAAGTATGGCCTGGTGCCTGGGGCTGTCATTCATGAAATGTATACACTCTGTAAGACAGAAAATCAGAAACAGCTTTCAAGAAAGCAGAAATGTTCAGGTAAAGTGCTTCCACCTCTCAAAAAATTATCATAAGCATAGAGTGGCACAACCCTTTGATGAATTTTCCCAGTAAAACTTTACAAGTTATAGACACTGGCAGCTGCTGTAACTGACGAGCACGCTGGTGAGGCTGAAACCAAAACTGACTTGATATCTTGATTTTTGTGCACCCATCTTTCCTTTAATATTCATCTTTAGTGATACCACTAAATCCTACTGGCAAAAGTGATGTGAGTCAACAGTACTATGTACTAAGTTCAAGGAATTATTAGCGTTTCTGAGTTTAACGGGTGTTGGCTGGGTAGTGTAAGGAGTATTTGCCCTATTTACTTTCTGGATTCTTAAAAAAGTATGGTTGGAGGTTAATGATTTTCCTTTTGAGGTGCAAAAGAAGCCACTCCCAGTGAGACGACAACCAAGCTATAGCTCCTGAAAACTCCCCAGCCCCAACTGGACAGGCACAATGGCTCTGATTAAGCAATATTCCAGGAAGGCAGAAATTTGGTATCTTAACCTGTTTGGGACTCTAGACTTTAATTTCTCTTTGTGAAATTAATCATTGGAGACCATTCATTTGATCCAAATGAAGTGTTTCTGGCAGACATAACAAGTCGCAGAAGAATACTTATTCAAGCTGAAGGAGGGGGCAAAAACACTAGAGTGGCTGAAGGTAAGCAGCAGAGACAAAGAGTGATAGGAGACAAGTTAGAGAGCCGGACAGAGGATGGATCATGAAGCCCTGCAGTCCAAGCAAAAATTCTGGCTTTGACCCTAAGACAGAAAAACATGGAAAGTTTAGTTTAGAAGAGACCTCACTCTTACGTCTTTAAAAGGATCACTTGGCTATGCAGAGGAAAGAACTGAGAAAACTGGAAGCAGGGAGATAAAATTTCCCAGAGGAAGGATGACTATGGCTTGGATCAAGGTCGTGACAGTGGTTGCAGCAGTCAGATAAACTTTTTCTCCCTTACTAGATGATTCAGTTTCTTGAAGGAAGGGGTTGTGAACTTTTCCTCCTTTAATCTCCTATAATCATTAGGATGAAACTTTCCACATAGTACACAGCCAATTTTTTTTTTTTTAGGAATACCTTCTACAACACTTTATGTATCTAGATCTGTGCCTAAGATTATCAAGGATAATTCAATAGATTGATATTAAGAAAAAATAAGTTATATATATATATACACACACACACACAGTCAGACAGGCATATATGCAGCATTTTATAAATACCTATTAAGTTATGAGCACTTAGTGGTTACTGAAGTTAAGTTCAAAATATAAAAGAGACTACAAAGAATCTCAAGAGTTAAAGGGCAAAACATGTGGAATCTAAAACATGGCACAAATGAACCCCTCTACAAAACAGAACTAGATTCACAGACATAGAGAGCAGACTTACAGTAGGGGAGAAGGACAGAGGAGAGGAACGTACTAGGAATCTGGGGTTGGTAGATACGAACTATCACACGTAGAATGGATAAACAACAAGGTCTTACTGTATTGCAGAGGGAACTATATCCAGTCTTCTAGGATAAACCATAATGGAAAGTAATATTTTAAAAGAATGTATGTATGTGTAAAACTGAGTCACTCTGCTGCTCAGCAGAGACTGGTACAACACTGTGAATCCACTATGCTTCAGTAAAAGGAAAGACTAGTAACTCAAAATAAAATTTTAAAACAATAATAAAAAAGGGAGTTAAAGGACAAAATGGCTTCAGTTAACACAGAGTTTTAAAGAAACTAGAAATAGTTTTGTTTTTTTTTTTTTTTTTTTTTCTTTCAAAAAAATCAAGTTAAGAAAGGACTGCATAATAAGAGTTAAGTCCCATCCAGGGAAGCAGAAATTGCATATTTGCTCTCCACAAGCACAGGATGAAATGGAGGAAATTAAGATAATAAAAAAGGATGAATGAGTTTTAAGATTCTAACTCAGTTCTTTTTTCCACTGCCTCCCCTCTTGATAAGTTATATACACTCACTGTAGTAAACCTGGACTATTAAACAAATCAGCCATCATTTTCTGCCCACATGTAACCACTATTAACATCTTTGTAATTTCTCTTTTCTAGCATGTGACTTGGGGCTAGTTGCTAAACCGGAGTCTCATCTGCGCCCTTCATAAAATGAAGACTGAACCAGCACCTGTCTCACAGGTCATAGAAGAGTCGCTCAGAAAGCAGCACAGGGCCTGAGGTGTCTTTGGAAAGGCCGGAGAGCTGTTCACGAGCTGCGCGTTGTCCATCTCAACTACTTAACCCTGTTACATCCTGAGAGCGGCCATAGAAAACACAAAAGTGAATGGGCAAAGTCCAGCAAATTTTTATTTGCAAAAGCAGGCAGTGTTGCTTATGTCACAATGGCTTACAACAAAGGTTCATAACTTGTTAGTGTGTTTGGATGACTGTGGTCTGTTTGTTTAGTAAGATTTGAAAATTCTTAGAAGAATCTGATAAAAAAACAAAAACTTTAGACTTGCTCACCAACGAAATCCAAGTACAACTTCTTTTGCAAATAATTTGAGTTCACAGACTTCCTGAAGTCACAAATGGCTCCTATAGTTTATCTTAAAGAAATCTTGTGTCTAGTGAAGTAGCTCATTTGATCTTTATTTACAGCCACCACCCCCCTCTAAAATACAGTGCATACAGTGAAAATGGACCAGCCTATATTCAAACTGTATAGTCTTCCTATAAACAAATTTTTCCGCCTAATTTTTTCATCATTATATTTTATCTTCCTAGATCATTATATAGTCATCGAGAACATTTTTTTTTGAGAACATTTTTTAAGGCTGAATAGTTTATGAGGTTGAAAAATGTTCAGTTGTTTTAGATGTTCTGGTTGCGTTTTCATTTTCAACTCATTCTTTTAATTACAGTTAATATTATGATGAATTGCTTTGTATCTAAATTTATATTTCTCAGAAATTAATGCTGTAAGTCAAAAAGTACAAATTATTTTTAATGTTCCTAATCTATTTTGATAAATTATGGTTCAGAAAGATTGTGGTGATTTCTGCTCCCATCATTTGAACATGAGATATCCATTTCACCACACCCTCATGAGCATGGAATACAAATCTTAAACTTTACTGAAGAGTTCTATAACCTGAGAGATCTTTGGCAGAGTTTCCAAAACATGGCAAAGGATAGATAATAAAGTCTAAAAATGCACATCCACTGCTCTGCGTTAGTAAAATTTCAAGATATTCAAGGTTAATCTAAATAATATGGAGAGACAAACTTTAAAATTTTAATCATTAAGAAAAACATCTGAAATATATTCCATAACCCTCCAGCCTTCAAAATACTAGGTAATAACATGAAGTAACTGGTTTGTAATCATCATAACTCTTGCATTTTAAAAATGACCACTAAAGTGAGCCACTGCTTCAGAGAGAAGCATATTCCACGCAAGTGGGTTGGGGGAAAAAATCAAAAGTTTGAAAATCACTTATTAGAGAGAACTTCTGATGGTTTAAGTGTAATTTTTTTTCTCTCTTTCACATTCATGAACACCTTTAGTTTCTGCTGCCTTGAGTATTTTTAAATCACTACTTCCACTCAATAATTGCTTAAGCATAGTATATATCGATATATATGCACAGATACTATAATAGATACTGAATGCTTATTCCTGGATATAATATATGTGTATACTGGAATGGTTAAGTATACAGGCTCTTGACAGACTGGCCAGGATTCCAATCTGACTTAGGCCATTTAATCTCTCTTGGTCTTAAATTTTCTAAACTGTAAAATGAGAATAATGGCACATACCACATAGAATAGTGGATTAAATGAGACAGAAGAGGTAAAACACTCATCACAGTATATGACACACAGAAAACACTCAAAATATCACTTATATTCATAAATTCCAATAAAATAAGTAAATTTTTCAGATAACTAAAACTATAACACACACATAGTAAATCATTGACCAGTGATTAGTGAATATTTAGAACGTTTTAACTTCAGGGTAACTAAAACAGATATGGGTTAATTTTAGTTAACTCCAGTTACAGAACTATGTACTAGTAAATTGTATACATGTTTTATGAGAGTATCAAATACACACACACATATATAAAGTACAAAGAACAATGTTGTGTACCCATCTATTAATATCTACTGATATAACTACTTCTCTAACTTCTTTATCTTTTCACTTCTCTGTTTTACCATAAATGTAGCCAGAAAAGGAGGATGTCCCTTTCTCTCTCAAAGTTAATTAACTAATCAATTATAGTGTATCGCTCTGCTGCTGCTGCTAAATCGCTTCAATCGTCTCAGACTCTGTGCAACCCCACAGACGGCAGCCTAACAGGCTCTCCTGTCCCTGGGATTCTCCAGGCAAGAATACTGGAGTGGGTTGCCATTTCCTTCTCCAATAGTGTATCACTCAACACTGAATAAATATAGCTAATCAAGTTCTCCATGCCTTTACCTACCCAGACAAGCCCTGAGGAACAAAGTACAGACTAGTGGTCACTCTTTTCTCAAAATCAACAAACTCAAATGGTTCTGCAGGTCAATTTAATCTCTCTCTTTAAGAAGCTACCATTTTAGACCTCTGTTCACTTTAAATCTCTAACCACCCCCATATACTCTGAAGAGATGAAGCTTCCACCTACCCCAAAGCTCCTATACAAAGCACCTCTTCCATTTGTGCTTCGAATCTTGTCATCCTTTCCCTTTTTAGGATCTTATTTTACAGATTATCTCTTCTTTCATTACTTCTTCCTTTCAAATGAATCATTCTCATCAAATTTTAAACAAAACAAATTCTCAACTATTTTAGGAAAAATTAAAAAAACTTCACTTTCAACCCACAATTTCTCCAGTTTCCACCCATATCTTCCTGTCTCCTTTATAAATTATCTGTATTACTATTTACATCTCTGCTTCCCACTCCTCAAACTACTCCAGTCTGACCCCTGCTCCCACCATTACATGAAAACAGAGCTCTGCTTAAAGGCACCAGAGATCTCCATGTTAACTCAGTGGTTGGACCTCAATAGTTTTCAATGCCAAGTGCCGTTCACTTCATCCTTAATTCTCATCTTCTGTGACACCACAGTTACCTGGTTTTCTCCAAACTCTTTAATCTCTCTCAGGTTTCATATCAAGTCTCAGTATTTCTATTAGGTCATTTAACTGTGGCGTTTCTTCACTTCTAAGTCCTTTTCTCTGTATTATCTCTTTATGTGAGCTCATTCACATGTATGGCTTCAAATACCATCCACACAACTATGATTGACCAGACCTCACTTCTGAGCTCTGGATTATGTAAACCCAATCATCTTTAAGATCTCTCCTTGGAGACACCTTAAATTCAACATGTTCAAGCTAAAGCAAAGAATTTCAGTCAAGGTCAACTTGCCCAAGAATGCCTGCCTGCATTTTATATATACTTTTTCTTCACAGACCTTATCAAATTTATAGCTATACACAAAAACAGGGACAGTGCCTGTTTGATTATCACTATATGACCAATGCCTTATATAGTCATTCATCAGGATTTGGGAGACTAGTTCCAGGACCATTCCCACAACCTCTGCCCCGCCCACAGATACCAAATCTGCAGATGCTCAAGTGTTTCATTTAAAATAGTACAGTATTTGTATATAACCTATACATATTCTCCCAAATACTTTAAATCATCTGTGGATTACTTAAATACCTAATACAATGTAAATGCTATGTAAATAGTTGCCAGTGTAGCAAATTCAAGTTTTGCCTTTTGGAACTTTCTGGAATTTTTCCCCCAATATTTTTTCATCTCTGGTTGGCTGAACTCAGGGCTGCAGAGCTGTGGACATGGAGGCCCAATTTTATAAACAACAAGCATCAACCCTAACATCAATCACTTTTTTCTACTGTTTAAACACAAACCCTTACAACTGTTTTTCACATTCACCACTGCTTTGGGGAACTGAAGGTATTAAGTGGTTGGTATAAGAGTGTCAATATACTGAACTTTAGGATCTTATGTCACACATTATACAGACTGACCTCCTCTCAAATTTAGTTGCCACCAACTGTTCCACCACATGCTAAACAGGTGATGCTGATTGGGTCTCATCCCAGAGAGCTGACCTATTACTGAACAGAGTGTATTGCTGAAATGATGAACCAACCTGTCAGAGATAACCAAAAAAATAAAGGTGATACATATTACATGGAAGCTGAAGACTACCTTGTATTAGATTCATTTGAAATTACAAACTTTAAAAATACTCTCCAAATCAAACTAGGTATTGTAAAAATATAACTAGTTAGTATTTTGATAAATTATATTAGATTTCAAATGGCCCGATATCCTTTTCCTTTTTAATATACATTTTATACTATATTTATATAATTTATATTTATTTATACTATACTTATATTAATAAAGTGTATATTAATTAGGAAAAGGATATTTATATTAATAAAGTGTGTATTAATAAAAATAAAACAACAACAACAACAACTTTTGACTGCAAGGCATGTGGGATCTTAGTTCCCTGACCAGGGATTGACCCCATGACCCCTGCAGTGGAAGCATGGAGTCTTAATCACTGCACTGCTAGGGAAGTCCCAATATACATTTTAAATAGCATATTAATTGGCCATGTTTTATTTTTCAAATACCTCACCATATACACCTTTTACCATATCTTTCTTTAAAGTTTTCTTTTTTGCTTTTATTTGTAATTGCTAAGGTATAGTTTAGCAAATGTTGGCAAAAAAATAAAGATCAGTGCCAACAATAATAGCACAATTGGTGCCTTAATGTCTGTTTGGCAGAACTGTAAAATAATGGTATCACTCAAAGTTTTAAAGCAATGACTTCTTTTAACAATATTTTCTTCTACCATTTTATCTACAAAAACTGAAATAAATTTCTTTAAGCCAATGTCATGGGTGATTATTAGAGAGCAGTAATGAATATATATTTTAATGCAAGACTATATATAAAGAAGTTTTTAAGTTTAGGTTGTCATTGGTTAACCTAAAATTATAAACCAATTCATTTTTTAAAAAAGCATTTCACATATTTTTGAGAAACAAAGGAGTTCAAATTTCATCATGTTCAAAATATTCTTGCATTTATTCACAGAAAATAAACAATCGGTGAAATAGGGAGAAAAAATAAAATATATTTTTTATATTTTATTTTTCCTCTGATTATAAAGATAGTAGATTTAATGAAGAAAATACAAAAAAATAAATATAAAGAAAAATATTCGTCTATAAACATAACACTAATAAATTATCCACTGCTTACAATTTGATTTTTTTTTTTTTGGTCTTTTTATTTACAAAAGTGACGTCACCTGCCGTCAGTGTCTTTCTCTGCTGTTCTAATACCACTAACAATTTCCCATGTGAATAAATATCCCTTAAATAATGACTCTTAGGGGCTTCCCAGGTGGCTCAGTGGTAAATAATCAGCCTGCCAAGGCAGGACACATGGCTTTGACCCCTGGGTCAGGAAGAACCCCTGGAGAAGAAAATCGCAACCCACTCCCATATCCTTGCCTAGGAAATCAAAAGGACAGAGCAGTCTGGCAGGGATCACAGGAGTTTAAACAACAACACATGACTGTTAGGAGAAAGGATTCCATTAAATGTAACATTTTCCTAACTTTTGTTATTAGAAATTTTTAATAATTTGCTATTACAAATAATGTCATTATGAACAATTAGTAGTATTCAATGCTGAAAGTCAACCTTTCATAATTGAAAGAATCGAAAGTCAACCTGAAAGTCAACCAAAAAAGGCGTGCTGCTGAGTTGCTTAGTCATGTCCAACCCTATGGCCACAGGCCGCCAAACTCCTCTGTCCATGGGGTTCTCTAGGCAAGAACATTGGAGTGGCATTTCCTTCTCCAGGGGGGGAAAAACCATAAACAACAGCAAAGCATTTAGCTCCCTAAATATAGCCAACAAGGTCTAGGATTCACTTCGTTTTGTTTTTCCTTACTATAATAATTTAATAAATAAATAACATGGAGGTAAACATCATACTTGCTAAAAGAATTGCAAGTGATTACTTCTGGGAAATATGCGGGGAAGGAACGGGACAAGAGTATGACCACTATTTTTTTTTATTATAATCTATGGCAAAATAGGAAAAAGAAAAACAAAAACACAAACAAAAAGTTGCCTCTACAATATCCATTCTTATTTTCTTCCTTCCTTATTAATAGAATCATGTAAAAGTGAAAGTTGCTCAGTCGTGTCAAGACGCTTTGGGACCCCATGGACTTAGTCCATGGAGTTCTTCAGTCCAGAATACTGGAGTGGGGAGCCTTTCCCTTCTCCAGGAGATCTTCCCAACCCACGGATCGAACCCAGGTCTCCCACACTGCAGGCGGATACTTTACCAGCTGATCCACAAGGGAATCACAGACACGTGTTTATCTGGGAGAAAAATACAAAAATGTATCCTAACGTTCTTTTCAGATGAGACTAGCTTAACAAGATGGAAATCAAAGCTACTGAGTAGAATTTACAGCAAGATGTTTTTGGCATACCCAAGAGACACCCCATTCCTACTACATGGACCTGAGATTTGATGTTTGGAATTTCAGCAACTATTTTGGATCATGAGGCAAACGTGAGATAGAAGATAAAGATGACTAGTAAGAAAGAACAAATGATGATAAAGCTACCATATCATTCCTACTGACCATTTAAGACTTTTCATACGAGAAATAAATATGTACTCATTTAAACTATTTAAGTCAAGTCTTTTCTAGCAGCAAAATGCAGTTCCTCATATTTAAGTCTTATATGTACTTATTAATAAACAAAGCACATACAAAAACATAAAACTAAATCAAAAACTAATTCCAGGAATAGTAAAAATGTACTATTATACTCTAAGTAACTGCTCAAGAAACTATATTATGTGAACTTTATATCAAGACTCAGAGATAAGGGTTGTATTTTCCTAAAACAATTAAATTTTAATTTAGAGAGTCATGAGCATGTATTTTGTAAAACTATGAAGTGAGCTTTTTCTCTGTTAAGACCGTTTATCTGTTTAAAGTGCCTGCTACACGCTGTGCTGTGCTCAGTCGCTCAGGCGTGTGGGACTCTGCGACCAGTGGATTGCAGCCCGCCAGGCTCCTCTGTCCATGGGAATTCTCCAGGCAAGAATATTGGAGTGGATTGCCATGCTATCTTCCAGGGGATCTTCCCAACCCAGGGATCGAACCCAGGCCTCCCGCACTGCAGGCAGATTCTTTACCCTCTGAGCCACCAGGGAAGCCCAAGAATACTGCAGTGGGTAGCCTATCCCTTCTCCAAGGGAACTTTCCAGGAATCACACCGG